GGCCAGTCTTAATTTGTTTAGCTAGAAGCATTTGCCGAAAAAGCCGGTGCCGATAGCAACAAAAACGGCGGGGAACTATGCAAAAAACGCATCTTCGCACGGGCAGCCTGTGCGTTGGCCAATTATTCTATTATTTTTATTATTTAATATTATGGTTTAGGTCGCCAACAGACTGACCACCAAATGATGCAGCACTTGTCAGAGCAACTGGAGAAGCTTCAGCTGCATAAGTTGCTAACTATGCTGTGAGCTGTAAATCATCAAAATAAGTATTAGTGTCGTTCAATTTATAAAACTTAAAAAAAAAACACACACACACAGGTGGCATTATACACCGAACAGGCAATGGATAGTAACTGGAGATATGCAGCCTAGGATCGAAGGAAATGGCATGGCTGCGCTTGACTTTTCGAAGCATACCAGCAACATCACTAAGAACAATCATATTAATTGCCCAAGCATCGCATTATGAAAAAAGGCGAAGTTTGACTTGACAAGAACAGTGATAATTGGAAACATGCATCTTTCATATTAGTCATTTTAATTTATCATTGTTTATCATTGTTTTGCATCTATCATATCATTTATCATTGTTATCACTGTTGTTTAATACTTTAATAAATTGAAGTGTGACTGTGCAACTACGCAACTAACAAATTTGTTTTGACTAATGGTCTTTTATTAAACAAACTTGTGATAGACTTATTTTAAATGTATAAAATTGTTCTCATAGACGGCAAGGTATTTTTAACACAGTTTGAAAGTGGCAACATCTGGGAACGAACGAGATGGCAACATTCAGCACAAACACCACACTAAAATTCCAGCCTGCTATTGGTTATTGGCTACACCAACCGTTGGAGAGAGACGATACAGCAGCTGTTTCATATAAGAAGTAATTATTAAATCGTCAGAAATAAGACTGTTTTATATTTGAGAAAACCAGAAAATCAATAAAAATTATAAAGTGGACAAATAAAATAGGCATAAAACCACTCTAAATATAGAAAGGGCCCGAGAAGAAAAGCAAATATAAAAATATATTAAAAAGAAAAATACTAAATCAACAATTATCCGCAACGCCCAACTCATCCAGAAATTATTATTTTATTAGTCGAATGGCTTACGAGATCACTTCTGTGGTTGTTTTAATCGTACTGGTGGTGAGAGCAGCGGCTGCTGCAGTAGTACTAGGCCGAACCAGCATCGGTTGCTCGGATGGTTCATGTTCCAGATTCAAATCCGGATCCAAATCCGTTTCTTCGCTCAAATCGATTTTCACCATTTTTATCTTTCACACGTTTTGCTCATGTATTAATGTCTATATCCTGAAATGATTCGAGAAGTCTTGTTATTTAATAGATGCACCAAAGAATGTATGAGCGCGAAAAAGCTATCAATTGCATTTATCACCAGAGAGCGCGACGGTAAAACTTCTATTTTTGGGTCTTGAAGAAAAGTTAGCACAAAACTAAGCTTTTGCATGAAC